GCGATAGAGTGAAGCCGTGGAAGTCGAAGCGCGAAGTGGCGAGGGTTCACTGTACACAAATGGAAAGGACGGTCTCATCCACTGGAACTTGGATTCAACAGTGGAGACAAGATTATTAACGGCTCGTTTCTCTCTCTCTCTCTCTCTCTTTCTCTCTCTCTCTCTCTCCCTCTCCCCCAAACACACCCATGTCAACAAATAATAGCATGCTAATATTATGAAGGTTCTGGCTTTCCAACATTTTCATTGCCCTACATTTTGACCCGAAATAGGCCAGGCCAACGACATCGTTTGCCTCTAAGATCCTAATGAGGTGCCTTTTCCCCTCAGTCGAATGTGCCCGATGACATCTTCGAGAACGGGAAGGCGGCCCAGGAGAAGACACCACTCTCCCTGAGCTTCAGCGACCTGCCCAACGGAGACTGCGCCCGGCCTTCCCTCGCAGGGGCCTCTGCCTCCAGGACGTGCCCGGCCAACCCAGAAATTACCATCACGCCCGCAGAGCGGAGCCACGGCAGCCTGTCCCCGCACAACGACGACGGCACGGACGACACTAGCTCAGCATCTTCCAGCAGCTCTTCGGCCGCAGGGCCGCAGCCAAAGCGCTCCGGGGAGGATGAGGCCGAGCCGGCCGCTGAGCCCGCAGGCCCGGCGTCCCGGCAGCTGTTCATGGAGCGGGATGTTGCGGTGACCCTCCTGCAAGAGTCGGACGAGGCCTCCGAACTCAAGCCCGTGGAGCTGGACACTTTGGAAGGCAACATCACCAGGCAGCTGGTCAAAAGGCTGACCTCCTCCGAGGTGCCGGGGCTGCTCTTGGAAGGCTCTGTCAGCGGGGAGTCTGAGGGCTGTCGGTCCTTCCTGGACGGGAGCCTGGAGGATGCCTTTAGTGGGCTTTTCCTGGCGTTAGAGCCGCATCGAGAGCAATACAAAGAGTTTCAGAATCTGAACCGAGAAGTCATGCATCTGGATGATATTCTAAAAGTGAGTACCCCTTTCAGGAACTTGGATCGGGTTTGGTGGGAGAGGGCCGAACTGATATACCCTCTTAAGCTAGCGAATCTTTCATTTTTATCCAGGCCCATCAGAACATTATTGGGGAACGGGTCGTTGCAATGCCATTCATTCTGAATGTCCATAGCACACAATAATTTTCCTTTTCCTGAAAGGGAAGCAATCTAGGTAAAAATAATTAATAGGGGTTAGTTAATAGGCCAAGGGAATGTTGAAGGAGTAGGTAAAATAATTAATAGGGGTTAGTTAATAGGCTAAGGGAATGTCGAAGGAGCCCAGGCCACAGTAGTTAAGAATTTGAATCCACGAGTGGCTCTCCAAAAGAAAGACATGGCCATGTGTATCTGTAAAGATTCACATCCTCAGAAACCCCAGGGAGTGGTCCCTTTCTGTCCTGTAGGATCGCTGTGAGTCAGAATCGACTCTACAGAACACAACAAGCACTAATGTCCACAGCCTCTCGGTCCACTTAACCATCCTGTCCCTGCATAGGCAACGGTAGCATTTTAATCATCAGAAGATCCCAGGGACGGTCCTGGGCTTCCTGGGAGGATTACGGCAATAGGGGACCCGGTTTCTGCTCGAAGTCAGAGTTAGCCAGCCCCATTGTGAGAGCCCCAAGTGCCTTTCCGCCCACAGCACTGCCTGTTAGAGGAGTCCCGCGGGCCTCCTGGATTGGGTCCAAGTCAGCATAGCAGCAGCTCAGCTTGTTCCTAAGGAAATAATCACCCATGTGTCTCAGCCATGGGGCTGAGTAGCTGGGAAGTCCCAGACTCCACCAACACTTTCTTTCTCACTTCTGGGTGGTCAGAACAGCCAGGGTAGATGTGGGAAGATGAGGGTAATAAGGAATGTTTTTCTTCCTGTGGGAGGGCCTCTGGATCATTATTTCTCCAGCTGGGAGGATCTGCCTCCACTGACACACAGATAGGATTGTAAAAAAACACTCCAGACCAAACGACCCAGTATCTCAGACCCCATGGGCCCATCTCATATTCTAGTCTGTGCCATCCTGGTTTGCATTTCTCTCTAGAAAAGAGCTTGGGTACTTTTCTGGACAGAGCAATCCTCTGAGGACCCATTCTAGAAAATATGCTCGGAAGGAATGTTTCCGGAGCGAGCAAAAAAATCAACCCACTGAAAGCAGTAGCATCCCTTTGTGTGGTGGTTTTCAGATGAGGCCTCCCCCATGGATCCAAGACTTTTCAGACAACCGCATCCTCTCATACAGTCATGCTAAGACCAACTCTGATAAGGATTTGTGCCAAACAGACGCTAATTCTTGCTGGGACCTTCCAGACTCTCAGTTCATGACCACTAAGTTCAGCTGTAGGCATCACATCTAAGAAACAGGGAAGCACGCTGTGGGTGCTTCCGGCAGTGCCGAGCTTAAAAGCAATATCCATCCACTCAAGGCTGCTTCTCTGGCACTCCTGTGAACGCATCCCTTTCTCCTCTAGACGAGCCTTGTCTACCCTGCACAGTTGACTGGCTTTACTTTTTGTACAAGAAGTCTTCGTTTCAAAGAGCTGAGACACAAATTGACCCCAACCTAAAGAAAATGCCCTGAAGAAAGCCAGTGGTGGTGGCAACTCCTATCACCAAGCACCCCTGGTGGTGCAAATGGTTAAGGACATCACTACTAAGCAAAAGGTTAGCAGTTCAAATCCACTCCATGGCTCTGTAGGAAAAAGACCTGGAGGTTGGTTTTCATAAAGATTATAGACTAAAGATATCCTATGGGGCAGTTCTACTCTGTCACATGGAGTTAGTAGAGTCTGAATCCAAGTGACGGCACCAAACAAAAACTGAGTGCAGATAAATGGCTTCATCTGTCAGGACACACTAGATGAGTCTTCTGTTCCTCTTATACATACAAACCCTGGTGGCCACAGCTTTCTCTCCAGACTTTTTATTTTAACTCTGCTGTTGCTCCCAAACTAACCCGCCACTAAAGTCCCCAAGTAGACTTCTCTTTGTTACGGTTAACTAACCTAGGATGATAAGTAAATAAAAACCTGATATCATCAAGTCAGTTCCAACTCAGCTCCCCTTATAGATGGATGTATAATTGGGTTAGGAGTCCCCAAGTAGCACCAATAGTGAAGCACTCACCTGCTAAGTGCAAGGTTGGTGGTTTGAGTTTACCTTGGTGGGAAAAACAAAACAAAACAAACCTGGTGATCTACTACCAACACAGTCATTTATTCCCTGTGGAATAAAGTCCTACTGTGAGGCGCACGGGGTTGCCAGGAGTCAGAATCGACTTGCCAGAACTGTTTTCGGTTTTCCTTTAGAGGTGGGTTGAGTCCGGCCGGGCTCCTTCACTCTCCGGAGATTTCTAGCTCATCAGAATGTAGGTCTGGGGCAAGCAGCTTTGTATCCAGCCAAAATAACAGCATCGGCTGGACAAAGCTTTCTCTCTTTCTCCCCCTTCACATTCCTAGGATGCTAACCATCTTGAGGATCAGAAACTCAATGATGCTGCCTCTTGGACGGAGATCACTGAGGGTGAATGAAGCAACGGTGCTTTAAAAGACTGAAAGACGTGCCCCCATGTGCTTCTCTGACATCTTGAGTGTCTAAGACAGAGCGCAGCAAGGCCCCCCCCACCCTGTGCTAAGAAATCCGCAAGCCGTACCCACCACCTGACTTACGGAAGACGTTAGTTCTTCTTCCTTGTAGGACTTGTCCCCTTCGAGCCACCGCAGCGTCTTCTTGAATATTTGAAAATGCTCCTCTCTTCCGTGGTGCCCCTAACAACTAGCATTATTCTCTCTGTAATGTGTCTGTTTGTGGCCAGCAATACAGGATTCTTCAGGTCATAGAGTGCGTTTGCCCCTGTAATTCCAGGGCCCAGTCCAGGGTGGGGTGGGTCTGGTTCCTTCAAAGACAGAACTCAAGACTTTCGTTTTCTTCTCAACTCGCAAAGAAAAAGTACAATGTAAAATGCATTAGTTAGGGAGCATGAACTAGCTGGATTTGAGCCATGTTTTGTTTGTGTGTGTTTCTGGGATTTATCCCGTGACTCCTTTAGCGTAAGTGCCTTAGATGGCTAGCTCCTATCTTAGGGCACTGAAAACATTGCCGCTTGGAAGAAGATATTGGTAGTACCTGGCATTGACTCTGTGACTCTTACAATTTGCTTACTGGTTGCATTTTTATTTGGGGTTGAGTACTGCAAGTGGAGGAAGGGCATCAGTTACATCTCTCAAGATTTTCTGGTTGTAATATTTTTAAATTGTTGGTTTTGGAAAGTTTCAAACTGAAGTAGAGAGAATCATGTGATGAATCCCAGCATGCCCGTCCAGGTTCCATCATTGCCAACTCATGGTCAACCTTGTTTCATCTCTTCTTCCACCTGATAGCTTCCTCCTGGATGGCTTTGGAATAAATCTCAGATACAGTGTTATTTTATCCCTGGATGTACCGCTTTTTGTTATGTTTTATTTTTATATATGAAAGTTTTACATACATGGAAAAGTGCCAACCACCAAAAGAGTGAAAATAAAAATTTGAAAAAAAAGAATTGAAAGTGTTTCCATCTTAGATCTGGTGCCATGTGTTCGCTTTCTCCTTTCGAGGGTGTTGATATTTTCCTCCTTGGTGCCTTCTGCCTTTGCAGTGCAAGCCACCAGGGAGCCGAAGCAGGTCTTCCAGTTTAAGTCTTACCGTTGAAAGTGCTTTAGAAAGCTTTGACTTCCTGAACACCTCTGATTTTGATGAGGAGGAGGATGGTGAGGAGGTTTGTAATATTGGAGGAGGCGCTGACTCGGTATTTTCAGATACGGAGACTGAGAAAAGCAGGTAAGTCCGAAGTTAGTATCTGCTTATCTTTCTCCTGTTACAGGTGCAACGGTCTTTGCTTCCAGCAGAGGGAGCCTGATGCAGCACCTTGCGTCTTCAATATGAGCAATAAATTAGGTTTACAGTTCCCGTTCATTATTGAATGCCACTTGTAAATATTGCCCAGCTCTCTGGGCCACTTAAGGGGAAACGGATTTGTTTGGTTTGTCTTATAAACAGAGGGGGTAGTTTTGTGTGAGTATGGTGCGTATGGTCATACTTCTGTATATGGTTCAGTGTCTACAACTTAACCCCGATGTAATTAATTGCAAATGAACTAGCCAGACTGTGTTTCTGGAGAACTCTGCCTTGATGAAATAGTTGCACCGATGTGTCCTTGATTTGGAGCTCAAGGTTAATGCCTTTGCCTGATTGTGCTTTGTTTTTCTCCACCTCTCTATCTAAGAAGGCCTGATGTCACTGTGGAATAAAAATTGGGCTCCTAACCTAGAGGTCACAGTGCGATCCCACTGGCCCTTCCATGGGAGAAAGCTAAGGCAGTCTGCCCCAGTCATGAAATCCGCCGAAGCCTGGTAGACCAGTTCTACTCCAGCCTACAGGCTCTCCACGAGTCATAACAACTTGCTGGTAGTGGATTGTCTTTTCTGTCTCTTGGTTCCCTTGAGCCCAAGGAGTCTCTGCTGTCGATTAAACTCCTCAATCACATTCAAGCTCAATGCCATCGGGTCCATTCTGATTCACAGCAACCCGACAGGACAGGGCGGAACTGCTCCTGCTGGTTTCCCAACAGGAGGAGAAAGCCTTGTCTTTCTCCTGAGGAGAGACTGCTGTAGTCAAACTGCTGACTTTGTGATTAGCAGCCCAGTGAACAGCCACCACACCAGCAGGGCTGTCGGATACCTAGACCAAAGTCAGGCTCAGCGGTCCCTTACAATGGCGGATGCCTGAGAACTGATGAGCACCATTCTATCTGCAGCCCCCTAGGTAGACAATGCAGCCTTCCAAGTGGTGGAGGGATGATAGACTAAGCAATAAGGCTTTACAACTAGAGCCGGGGTACAAAACATGGCTAATTTCGGAACTTTAAGTTGGGCAGAACAAACACAATGCAACACTACAACCCTCATCAATTACCACGAAAGAATCCACATTCACTTTCCCAAACGAAGGGGGGGCTTACCGACCCTCTTTCCTTTTGGCACCACATGATCTAAACGGGTTTACAACATGCAACATTGTCTTGCACACTATTCAAACTTTTCTGTGGGAGATTTTAAGCTTGTGGGATTTTGTTGTTCCTTATGGATTTCTTCTTCCAAAACGAAACAAGGAAAAATATCTGAAACAGATGTTGTTCAAGCTTTTTCTTGTGAATGTGAAGATGTCCAAAGCAAATACTTATTCCGTTCAACAGTACAATACGTGTTTTGGGTCGTGTCATTGACTACAATCCCCACAATGCAGCATCACTTCTCCCACTTCCATCTTCTTTCCTAGCCCTTATGAACTTTGTCTTGGGGTCAATGGTCCCCTTTTGTCTCAAATGGCTGATTATTCTAAGGAATGCATTTCTTCTAGTGTTCACCGTTGCCCTTATCGGCATGTCCATTATTTGGTTGATAATTGAGCCATAGGGGTTAATTCAGTTCGTCTTTCAAAGTGACGAAGGGCAGTCATCTCAGGGGTTCCCCTAGTGTCTCCCCAATTAGTAAGTCTGTTTCTTTTTGTTTTTAGCGTTATTCCACATGTTGCTCCCACTGGATCAAACCAAAAAACCAAAAAAACAACCTCACTGCCCTCAAGTCAGTTCCTTCTATGGCAATCATATAGGGCCGGGTGGATCAGCCTCTGTGGGTGCCCGAGACAGTCATTCTTTTTTTTATATATAAATCATTTTATTGGAGGCTCTTACAGCTCTTATCACAATCCATACATCCATCCATTTTGTCAAGCACATTTGTACATTTGTTGCCATCATCATTTTCAAAACATGCTCATACTACTTGAGCTCTTGGTATTAGCTCCTCATTTCCCGCCCCCCTCCCTCCCTCCCTTCCTTCCTCCCTCCCGAACCCTTGATAATTTGTAAAATTTTTTTCATGTCTTGCACTGGCTACTGTCTCCCTTTACCCTCTTATCTGTTGTCCATCCATCCCCCTTACCCTCCTGGTATGGCTACTCTCAATATTGGTCCCAAGGAGTTGATCTGTCCTGTATTCCCTGTTTCCAGCTCTTATCTGTACCCATGTACATGCTCTGGTCTAGCCAGATTTGTAAGGTAGACTTAGGATCATGATAGTGTGTGTGTTGGGGTTGGGGGGTTGGGGGAAGCATTAAAGAACCAGAGGGAAGCTGTATGTTTCATTGGTGCTACACTTCTATACTTGATTGGCCGGTCTTCTCCCCGAGACTCTTCTGTAAGGGGATGTCCAATTGCCTACAGATGGGCTTTGGGCTTCCACTCTGCAACAACCGCCATACCCCACACACACCCATTCCCATTGACATGACTTTTTGCTCTGGGATTTTGATGCCTGATACCTAATCCCATCGACACCTCATGATCACACAGGCTGGTGTGCTTCTTCTATGTGGGCTTTGTTGCTTCCCAGCTAGATGGCAGTTTGTTCATCTTCAAGCCTTTAAGACCCCAGATGCTATAGCTTCTGATAGCTGGGCACCATCAGCTTTCTTCACCACATTGCTTATGCCCCCATTTGTCTTCAGAGATTGTGTCAGGAAGGTGAGCATCTCAGAATGCCGGATTATTAGAACAAAGTGTTCTTGCATTGAGGGAGTACTTGAGTGGAGGCCCAATGTCTGTCTGCTACCTTAATAGTAAACTTATAAATCTATGTACATAGATTTATTTCCCGTTGTCATATATAAATATATTTACATATGTAAATGCCTGTATTTAGACCTCTATACATGCCTTTTGCCTCCTAGTTCTGTCCTCTATTTCCTTTTACTTTCCTCTTGTCCGACTATCATGCTCAGTCTTCATTTGGGTTTCAGTAATTCCTCTCATTTACATTGCCCTTGATCAAGCCCTACCAGACCTCCTACACCCTCCTTGTCATCAGTTTTTGGTCACTTGTTGTTCCCTGTCCCTGGGTTTGTTAACACCCACTTCCTTTCCCCCATCTCCCCCTTCCCAAGTCCCCCCCCACAACTGTCATGCCATTGTTTTCTCCTCCGAATTGTTTATCCCGCCTATCTTATCTAGAGAGACATGCAGAGATAATAATATGCACAAACACAAGATGGAGCAAAACAAAGCAACAATAGAAAATTAATAACTCCAAAAACAACAAAAAAAGCCAAAGAAAAGCCTATAAATAGTTCAAGGTCTATTTGTTGACTTTTACAAGTGTTTTCCAGTCAAGTCTGATGGGGCTCCACGCCCTGGTCCCACAGTCTATTTTTGGTGTTTCCTGGGGACTTCATTGCTCTGCTCCCTTTGCAGTTCTGTTGCACGCCCCGGTGTGGTGGGGTCACATTGGGCACAATTCCCGCAGTATGTCTCCAGTATTATCCCCCATAGTGCTATGGGTCAGTGAGGGAGACAGTAACTCTTTATGGGAGTAGAAACATCATCTTACTCCCACAAAGTGGCTAGTGGTTTTGAATGGCTGCCTTTTAGTTAGTGGCCCAATAAGTAACCACTACACCCCAGGTCTTCTCCTCACTCTAGCTACTGAGCAGTTACAAGTGCTAGCCAGCATGATACTGATTTTATTCCTTGAGCAAACGGGGTGGTTGGAGGGGGGCAAAGCAAGAGGAAATGTATCAAATAAACATTCTGTTTAAGCTATACCTTTACATTCTTCAGGGTCCCTGGGTGGTACACATAGTTAAATGCTCAGCTGAACCATCAAAAAGCTGGTGGTTCAAGTCCACCCAAAGTTTCCTCAGAAGATTGACTTGGTGCTCTACTTCTAAGAAACCAGCCACTGGAAACTGTCTGGGGCACATTGCTACTCTGACACACATGGGACCACCCTGAGTCAATGTCAACTCAAGAGCGACCGGCTTTGACATGATGCACTCAGATCTGTCTAGTCTGATTGGATTGGTGAAGGAGTTCTTAATCAAATATCTTTCTGTAGCTTATTATCTTAAGCTATTCGACGATATGCCGAGGTTAAGCAAGCATCAATCTAAACCTTTGTCTTGGTGTTATAGGAAGCAGTTTGCGAACAAGAATATTACAGCTTTTATATACTTTGTAGAGCATCGATAGTAAATAGGTCTAATTGATTACTCTTACTATATTTCATCAGATGCATTGGAGAGAACTGTGTGTGTATACATGAGTGTGTGTGCATGTATTTGCCTTCTAAATTTTTGTTGACTGCCAGGTTTTCCCCTTGGAGACAACTATGAATCAGAAACAAAGCCTTCAAAGCCACTAAGCTCTCAAGTGTGATCTTTAAATTGGGGAGACTGATGAATCAGGGGAAAAAAGCATTCAAAACCACTAAGCCCTAAAGCGTGATCTTTAAATTGTGGAATTGGGGAGTGTGAGATTAGAACGAGCCCTGTCTGAATTCACTGCCTGAGTGAGCCAGGATAACATCCCTGTTAGCCAGACCTCTTGGGTGTGAAAATACCACAAATACCTCTCTCTCCCTAGCACATGGATTCATTTTAAAAGTAAAATTAAGTAACAGGCACACTAGACTTTTTCAATGTAAGTGCCCCGTTAAACCAGTATATTGTCACAACACATCAGGTCTCTCCTCTCGGCAGCTTTTCTTTTTCCGATTCAAGTAGCAATTGATCCAAGGCCAGGAAAAGACATTGCAAACTTATTTCTTAATGGCATTGCCCTTGGGAAACCACAGGTACCGGGGCAGTTTAATCCTACAAAATTTGTCCAATTACCTCACCAACAAAAGAGCAGCAAGGGCACCCTTCAAAGATTTCTTGGCAAATGCACTGCACAGATGGTTCACTGCGCTTGAGGAGCTACTAGAAAACACAGGAAACAAGTTGTCTGTGTCGCCTTTTACCACTAGGCAGATTTGCAGTCAGGCAGAATTATAATGTAGCCTTTGAAGGTATATTGCTTTTTGAAGGCAGCCCTTATGATCACTGGGGAGTCTGTGGACACCATATTGAGTTGACCTGTGCGTTCTACACAGAACAAAATAAATAATGCTTCACCCACCTTCCTACGTCAACAGTTACAGGTCAGTTCATCCGGAAGCCAGGGGGCACCTCAGCGAAGCACTCACTGAAGACACGGGAGTTGGGACCAGTGTGGCAGGAAGCCCACTCCCATTGACCACAGGAAATGAAAGCCTTGACATCACCATCGTTAGGCACCTACAGTACTGCACCCAACTCGTCCAGGTAGGATTGGAGACGTCTTCTCTTTTATACATCTCGATTGTCTGTGTACAAGGAAAGGGTGCTTCCTTTTTGAGCTTAGCCAGTAAAATGAGAATTTCCGAGACTGGTTCTACAACTTAGCAAAAGTAACCCATGCCTCTGAAGTGTACATAAAGGCAGTGTAATGTTAGCAGTGTGTGTCTTGCTGTGTATCTTTTCCATAATGACAAAGTAAAATATTTTAAAATGCCAATGAATAAATAAAACTCACATGATAAAACAAAAAGAAGACGACAAACTGAGAATTCAAGAGTAAGAGAATAGTTCTGCTCTCGTTTTCATTGAGTCAGAAACTGATGGGTGTTGGCACTCTTTGAGGCTCACCAGCATGATCACTGAAGACAAATGGGTGCATAAGCAAATGTGGTGAAGAAAGCTGATGGTGCCCGGCTATTACAGGGATAGCATCTGGGGTCTTAAAGGTTGAAGTTTAACATGCAGTCATCTAGCAGGGAAGCAACAAAGCCCAGCCAGATCTTTTAGGTAGCACCGCATGAAAAACGTAATCAATGTTGTTGAGCTTAACATCTGGAAGTTATGTTGATGGATATTTGGGTGTGTGTGTTTTTACTGTGAGAGAGAATTATGCTCCTGCGAGTTGCTCTAGCACAAACACAGGACTCACTGGGAAACAAGAGTGAGGTTGGTGAGTCAGGGGTCCTGAAGGAGGCCAAGAGGAGGGCACTATCTCTTCATCAGTATTACTCTAGAAACAAGGTGTAAGGAAATATGCTTTTTCTTCACAAATAACCTCAAAGTAGCTTTCAACAATTCATATACTACAGACAATTGGCACATGACCATGACTCTTCCCATTTGGTTGGCCAACACCTTAATTGATCGCTCGTTGAGTTTTTAATTTATAAACTATGATGCTAAAAACGCATCTAGTGGAGGTGCCCTTTTTGTTTTGACCTGAATGGACACAGATTTTTATTGGACACACGTAAACCATTCTATATCTGGAGCAAGGGTGGTTATGTGGCAGAATTCTCATCTTGCATGCAGAAGACCTGGGTTCTGTTCCCAGCCAATGTACACTCACACCACCATCTGCCAGTGGGAGCTTGTGTGCTGCTATGATGTTGAACTTCCAGACTTGGATCAACTACGAAGAAACTGTCTCCGGAGAGTTAGTCTGGTCCAAATCTACATGGGATCACCATGAATCAGGGAGCTTCCTTGATCCAACAGCATTTTATAACCACTGCCATTTGAATGAGTCCTATATTGTGCTTATCAATCCAGGTGCTTATTTTTCATGTAGTTATTATTTGAGGCTGGAGAGAATCCTCTTCCATGAGAGCATGAACATTTTCTCCCCCAAAGATTGTCGTGCACTGTTCAGTGCAATATTTCTTCCTATAAGATGAGGATAGTTAAATGAGGAGCCGATATCAGGGGCTCAAGTGGGAAGAGAATGCTTTGAAAATGATGATGGCGGCCTATGTGCAAATGTGCTTGATACAGTGGATGAATGCATGGATTGTGATAAGAGATGTGAGAGCCCCCAATAAAAGGGGGAAAAAAAGATGGGCATGGTTATAACAAATCCCCATTAAAAATATTTTAAAAATTAATGTTAGAAAAACAAAATTGGGTATAAAGATGTAGGAAAAAAAGGGAATGAGAGTTCAAGACTAATTTCTAACTCACATTGACTCCTACCAGTGTATCATTGATGCATTCATTTGGTATACAATTGCAAAGAGATAAATATGGGATTTCTTAAGCTATGATTGTTTTTATTGAAGTAATACATTTCAATGTTGTTCACTTATACAAGAGGCATTAATTAGTACCTAATTGCTACTTACACTTTTGAATGTATCAATCCTATTTTAGTGTCCACGTGCTTTAAAGAGTATAGTTAGTGTATGCTACAGGTGGGAGTCCACTGTGTACCTTTCACAGGCTTGCCATACTTGGGTGGGGGGCATGTTGCTTTGATCCTGGAAGGTATGCCACCACTATTTCACTCACCAGCAGTATCATCCCAGGAGGGCGGGTTTCAGTAGAGCATCCAGATTAGAAGAAACGCTTGGTGAGCTATTTCTAAATTTAGCCAATGAAAAGTCCATGGATCCGAGCAGAAGATGGTCTGATCTAGTGCCGGAGGATGGTACCCAGAGCCTGGTACCTGAAGCACAAACCCACTGCTGTCAGGCTGATCCAACTCATAGCAACCTTATAGGACAGCGCAGAATTTCCCTGTGGGTTTTCCGGGCTGTAACTGTTTACAGTGGTATAAAGTCACACTTTCTCCTACTGGCTGGTGGATTTGGTCGATTCAAACTGCTGACCTTGTGGCTAGCAGCCTAACATATAATCCACTACACCACTACGCCCTCAAAATACACAACGGCCACAAGAATGGACTTCATGATGGCGCAGAGTGGGGCAACATTTCATTCTGTTGTGTATGAGGTTTATAATAACCTTGCAGCTCTGGCTGTTGAGAAAATTTCATAAATTAGATGGGCCCAGGGAACGCGTGAAGCACAAACATATGATCTTACTGGTCTGGAAGGCAGAAAGGTATCCAGCTGGAACCAGAGCTGTGCACCAGTTCATTTGGCATCACCACGGCATTTGGGGAGGGAGGAGGCTGGGTGGGGAAAGTGGTTGGCGTTCCATGAACAATGACATCATCAAAAGCGCGTTGTGTTCCTTTCATCAGCAAATTGTATTTTCAAGCAAAACCCCGTTCGTTGCAAGAAACCTCCTAGAGAAGCTTTCTCGGCAGATCCAAGTGGTGGAGAAACTCTCAGCTGTCAGCGACGAGAACATAGGAAACATCGGGTCGGTCGTCGAAGGTGAGTAGCTGCAAGCCCCCCGACAATCCGATGCTGTAACTCACCCGCCCCCTTCGCTGAGCCGGTCCTCTGCCTTCGCAGGACAACAGAGGAGCATGCCTGGGCCACGGAGCAGGCTACGTTTGCCACGCTCATGGCATCAGGGGGCACCATGGTCCGGCCTTCTGAGATAGCCAATGGAGGCAAAGCTGTGCTTATTGAAACCTCTAGAAGTCAGACACTAGCGTGTGAAGAGAAACAGCAAGGACCTCATCAGCGGTGTTTCACAGACAGCTGGTGCATTTCCCTTCGTGGACAGTGATCAGCATAGATCTCCTTCGTGGATCTGCCTAAGGCAGTTCCCACAGCAGCTAACTGTCCAGTGGAAAAGGCTTCTAAATTCTGCTGGGAGACTGGTAGAAATGTGTAAAGGCCAAGTGGAGAGCCCTAGTTCCACCAGTTTTAAATACAGAGTTTCTTTTGGGAAGATGCCTTTGAATGTGTGTGGTCTGGTACAGGACTCTTGTAAAGACAAGGATATCTGTCCTCAAAACCCTAGGATAACAGGTTCAAGAGAGGTAGTGGGTCATATGCATTGGGCTGCAATCCACATGGTCAGCAGTTTGAAACCACCAGCAGCTCCATGGAAGAAAGACTGGGCTTTCTACTCCCGTAGTTACTTAAGGTCTCAGAGACCCACAGGGGGCGACTGTGAGTCACCATTGACTCAGTGGCAGTGCAGTTGGTTTGAGTCTTCTGAGGCAAACAAATAGTTTATGCTTAACTACTAACTAAATGACAGGTTGGTGGTTCAACGGCCCCCCACCCCCACCCCTTTGTGGTTTCACAGGAGAAAGATCTTGTGACCTACTTCCTAAATATCACAGTGGTTGAAAAGCCCATGGAAGCCCACTTCTACTGTGACACACACGGTGTTGCATGAGTCAGAATCAATTCCACATCAGCTAGTTTGTTTTATGGTTTCTTTAGGGTATTCCAGGTCATCCCAGTTTAAGTCTAAAAGTCTCACTCTCTACATTCCTACTTCCTCCATCCATTCCCCCCAGGAGCAGGTGACCTGGCAGGTCTGTGAAGAGGCGTGAAAAGGGCAGGGCATTCAGGATGCAAAGAGTGGCCTTGGCTTCCCCCAAGTCCCCCTCATTGTTACAACTTGCCCGTGCATGCAAAGTTGGTCTGTCTCACTAGTGCAGGCTGCCCAGTCCTTTCTGTCCAAGAACTAGTTGGGCAGGGGACGTACTCCCGTCGACCTACTACCTTCTGCCCCACTCAGGAAACTCTCTGAAGTTACAGTGTCTGAGTCTTTGCATTTTTAGGCTCTAAGCGCACAGGAGATGTGATGATCTAGCACATCTCCAAAGAGGAGGGCTGCTGGGATCTCTGTCACTTAAAGCAAACTGCATGCTGTTGCTGGGTCCCTCCCCTCCCCGGCGGCATGGTTCCTCATCACAACTTCTCGGCTGGTTGGACCCATCTGCCAACCACAGGGGATTGCATAGCTCAGACTGAAAACCAGGGTCCTTAAAAAAACTAAGACCATAAGCCCTACATCTCTGTACCTACTCTCAGTAAAGGGTATGTTACTGCCTCCTAAGAGAGAAAGAGACCCTAAGTCTTTGGAATTTCCCCAGTGATTGGGGTGTCTTTATGAGGTCTCTAGACCACAGCTATGGAGCCCTGGTGGTAGAGTGGTTATACATTGGGCTGCAATCGGCAAGTTCAGCAGTTCAAAACTACCAGCCTCTCTGTGGAAGAAAGATAGGGTTTCTACTCCCATAAAGAGTTACCATCTCAGAAACACACAGGGGCAGTACGATCTTGCCCTATAGTGTCACTAGGAGTCAGCATCGGCTCCATAGCAGTTAATTTTTGTGAGACCACAGCTCATGAAACAGTTTACAGGGATGAGGTTACTCGGGTGGGGAACGGCCAGTCTAAGAAGAGGCGCCATATGATAACAGCCTATTAAAAGGAGGGGGACCAAGGTTCATCCAGCCATGCCTATGTAAAGGGGCCCTAATTAAAGCTTTGGACACAGAAGACCATGGGCTTCCTGATGGACCAAAGATATTGGTCCCTGGGTTTGGGGGACAGGAAGGCTCTGTGTTGGGGACTTTCCCTGACCTTGTCCTGTGCAAGGGGCTTCCAAAAGTTTATGGAAAAATCCATTGGCTTTCAGGTCTATTTATCCACAAACTCTCTGAAACTTGCTTCTTTATATTGGTGTTGAGTTACAGCCTGTTTACTATACCAAAGCTGTGCAGGGGAGCTTCAAAAATTCTTGGCAAAATGGGATGAGAAATAATAAAAACTTTGCATGAACTTTTGAAGCCCCGATGTAATTCTGGGGGAGCAAATAAAGATATGTAATGAGTGATTCTTCTTTTTCAGTCATTCCGGAATTCCACAAGAAGCTATCTCTGCTCTCATTCTGGGCCAAGTGCTGCAGCCCCGTTGGGGTCTACCACAGCTCGGCAGACCGAGTGATTAGGCAGCTGGAGACCAGCTTCGCCAGAGCTGTCAACAAGGAGGATCCAGGCCTCGCCGACGCAGGTACAGGCCCATGGGAGGGCCAGCCTTTGCACCGTCGGGTGTGAGTGAGCACTGGTCAGAGCACACAAAAGGCCATTTCTGAGAAGCCCTTCTCTCCAGGGAAACAGCAATGACAGCAAGTGAGGTTTAAGACAGGCGAGCGCTGAGCATGCTTTCATTCACAATAGCAGCCAGAACCCACTGCCAGCAAGTCTATACCAACTCACAGCAACCCGACATAGGATTTCCATGACTGTGAATCTTTACAGGAGAGGAGAGAGCCTCAACTTTCTCCGATGGAGAGACTGGTGGGTTGGAACCCCCCACCTAGCAGTCCAACCCTTACCCCACAGCACCTCCAGGGCTCCCTAGAGGAACAGCATGGACGGTGACGGGGCATAGGTCAAGCTTGGCAGTGAGAATGCCAGGGGACCTTGGAGGGCCAGGGGTTAAACGCTAGGCTGCTGACCAACAGAAAGTTGAGGCTGTCTGCTCCTGTAAAGATGGATCGTCTCTGAAAGAGCTATCGCTCTGTCATGTGGGGCTGCTGTGAGTTAGAAGGGCCTGAAGACAGTGGGTAGATGGAGGTATGTTTTTTTCATTCCAATCTCTCCAGTTTGGAATGTCCTGTGGCATGGGTGTCTTGAATACTTGGCCATTTCTGTGCAAGTTGCACATCCTTACTCTGTGCCTCTAAATAGATCAACTTAATGTATCAAATACAGCAATTCAAGTCCTAAGTCTATTAAGAGAAATTCAGTGCTAATCTCAGACCAAAAAGAAATGCTTAAAAATAAAAACCACAGCAGCTTTACGCATAACAAATAAAAATTAGAAGCAACTAATAAGCCTATCAACAGAACAGATCAGTTTCATATCCTCGTATAATAGGGTATGACACTGCAATTTATGAAAGTGCTGATTAACCAGCATTTAGATGAATCTCACAGGCATTTTGTTGAATGAGTCGAGTCAGATACAAAAGTAAACACCGTCTAATTTTATGAAGTTCAAGGACAGGCTGCAATATTCGATGTGGCGACACGTCAGGTTACTGGTCATCTCCAGTAGCTGTGGCTATAGCTATAATGGTGACATCGGTTACTTCCAGGTAATGGCTCCCGCTTGGTGGCTGCACACTAGCAGGAGCCACAAGACAGCTTTTTGAGGTGCTGGCTGTGTTCTGTATTTATTTTGATTTGAAGACTGGTGTGTGTGTGTGTGTGTGTGTGTGTGTGTGTGTGTGTGTGTGTGTGTGTGTGTGTGTGTAAAACCCATCCAGCCGTTCAGTGAAGATTAATTCACGGACTTCACTTCCCTCTCCATATCTTACACTACAATAAAAAGGCAAATAAATGTCATTCACTATTAAATGAGTGGAGAGGTGGATGATGGGCATGTCTCTTCAAAGCTGTTTTGGATCTTCCTCTTCCAGTGTTCCGGACCCTGGTGTCCCAAATCCTGGACCGGGCTGAGCCTCTCCTTCCCTCCAGCCTCCCCCTGGAAGTCATTACCGTTTTCCAGTATCACAGCTACTTTGCCAGCTGTGGTGTGAGCGACCTAGAGAGCTATCTGATTCAGCTGGCCAAGCAAGGTAGGACACGCTTTTTTGTCATGCCATGGTGGGAACTGGGGATGGGATACTCATCTTGCACTATTTTTGGTATTTTTAACCATAGTTTTTAGTAATGGTAGCCTCCCACCCCCATCCAAGTCAAGAATTTAGCTGAGTTTTGATTTTAAGTAACTTGTTGACTTTAGCCATCAGCACTTCTCTTGTTAACGGATCAAGGATTTACGAAGAGCACCCTCTTCATTCAAGAGGCAGGCTAGTAACAAGAAGTCAATCAATGCCATTTCCTTCACGAATGGATCAGTTACTAATAGTTTTAAACCGATAGGCTTAAATCTTAGATCATCTTTTCTGATGGCGCTCACGTGACAATAGGTAGAAACGGGGTTCACAGGCAGTAGGTTGGCCCAGTGGGAAGGAAAAGAAAGGGGAGGCAGAAATCCAGGCCTAAGGATGCATCCCCAGGATGTCAGTGCAGTTCAGCCTCGCCGGAACTTCCAATATTAGAAATGAAATAACTCTAACATGCCCGAAAGCGGTCCCTGGGTGGTGTGGGTTATTTAACGCACTCATCTGCTAACCAATAGGTTGGAAGCTCAGGCCCACCTCAAAGTGCTTCAGAAGAAAGGCCTGGTGGTCTACTTCTCATATCCCAGCTGTTAAAAACCCTGCTGAGCACAGTTCCCTCTGACACCCTGAGGGCCCTTATGAGTCAGAGTCTACTTGATAGCAACTGTTTTGTTTTGTTTTTTCAATAAGTGCACGCCCCTTTGGGAGTGGAGCCAGGCCGCGAGGGCTGCATCTGATTCCCAGGTGTGCACTCCAGACTCCACAGAGGCTGGGCAAGGCAGGTCAACTGGCCTGGGAAGGCTGGGCGGGTTCCTTGAGGGCAGGCAGAGGTTGCACTACACCAGCAACCACGAGGCGTCTGGCACGGACTCGGGCTGTGTGCGTCTCTTTCCAGAACATGAAACACGGTGACAACCTGTTCGTCGCATTGGTTGGCATCTCAGTGAGAGGAAGAAACTCTCCCTTGTCTTGGCAGGGAACCAGGAGGATGGAGCAGAACTGCCCGTAGGGTTGCCAAGCCTATACAACTTCAACTACAGACTGCCTCGTCTTTCTCTAACCGAGAGGCTGGTGGGTTTGAACTGCCCAACTCTGGGGTAGCAGCCCACTGCTTCACCCACTGTGCCACCATGGATGGCTCCTATATCATCTTTTATACCACTATAAACTCACTGCCATGGAGTTGATTCTGACTCATACTGACTGTATTAGTCTAGGTACTTTGGAGAAACAAATCCACGGCGACTCACGTATAAGAGAGAGTTTTATGTAAAGAAAAGGTGCATCATGAAAACATCCCAACCCAATGCTGCCCAAGCCCACAAGTCCAACATTGACCCAACACCAGTCCACAAAGTCCTCCACCTCACAAAACAGAGGCAATGATGCCGACTGCAGGAGGAAAGCTGAGTCCATGAACGTGTAAGCATCTCAGCACTGGCAGGGGTCTCCACACGGCTGCTCCAGCACCCAGGGCTGCATCGGGATAGATCCATGCGGCTTCTCCTTGTAGGAAATCCATCTTGCAAGCTGAAGCAGGGAACTGCTAAGGCAGCTGCACCCGATGCAACCATCACAAAACAAGAGACCCGAGAACTAGAAAGGCGAGGCTTCACCACCCGTTTATCCCTCCGCCTTTCAACCAGCACCACATGTGATTATCGGCCAGGCTGGCACAATTAACTAACTCACTGACCTTATAGGACAACAGACCTGCCCTGTGGGCTTCTGAGACTGTGAATCTCTATGGGAGTAGAAAGCCTCATCTTTCTGGTTCAGAACCAACTGGTTTGTTTCTCCTTCAGAGTGGCGGGTGGTTCCTAACTGCTGACATTGCGGTTAGCAGCCCCGCAAAGATACCATCGGGGCTCCTGATATAATCCCTAGGGCCTGTGATTAGCGTCAAGCAGAGGTTGGCAAACTGCGCGGTTCTGCAGCCATAGGCAGCTCTTTCTGGACATACGTGGTGCAGGAGTAAAACTAAAAATAAAACCTTCATAGCTTCATTTAAAGGGTATTATTCAGATAAAATGTATCTTTAAGTCCCGAATAATTTTTAAATTCTTGTGAGAAATAAGATTAACTCTTCTATCTCAGAAGTTTGCCGATCCCTGGCATAGAGGTTTCAGGCAAGACAGTTTCAAAAGGGAGACACCATTTTAGAGCTATAGGCTCTCATTTTAATTTATTGTTCACTTCTTGGTATTTCTCAGTGTGGGTCATTTTCCTGAGTCAGTTTCTATTGGCGAGTCTGTTTACATCTTACTGCCTGGTCCCGGAGGAGGCTCCCACTCACAAGTAGGAATGGGGGTAACAAGGAAAATCCCTGACTTGTTCATGCTTTTTTATCATTTTGTTTTGAAAGGAAAAAACCCTCATTGGGGAAATTCGAGACATATGGAGAAACAGAAAGAGAATAAATTCAAATATTTCACTCTTCCACTATTAAGATAGAATGTGATTTCCAGAATAATTTGTGTGGGCTTAATTTTCAAAACTGAGATGGCTTATTCTACAGGGTTAAATTCTAATTTTTAATTTGGCATTACCCAAAATTATTGTATAAAATTATTTCCATTGGTTTTAGAATAATTCTCCATTGGGATGCATGAGGGGGTACCCCATGCATGGGAGGGAGTACCCCAAATAATGGGAGGGAGGAAGCTCAGCTGGGTGGAGCTTTCCTAGTAAGCATTTTTCCCTTCTAGGTAAGCATTGAGCAACTGGTTCTGAGTTAGTGCACCCAGTGGCATCACCTGGGAAGGTTCCTCTCTGGTCACAGTGAATTTTTCATGAAAGTAGTTTCGCTGGACCTTGGTTTGTTTTTTTTTGTGATGGCCGATTTAAAAGAACAGCGTGCATCTGTGAAATTTTGTTTCCTGCTCAGGTTGAACACAGCTTATAAGGATAGCACTATGGAAAAAACTCAAATGTACAATGTTGTATGCATACCATCACATTTGTGCATATGTTGCCATCATCATTTTCAAAGCATTTTCTTTCTACGTGAGCCCTTGGTATCAACTCGTCTTTCTTTCCCCCTCCCTTCCCACACCCTCCCACCCTCGTGATATCTTGGCTGTAAATCTTTACAGAGGTACTGCTACTAAAGCTTTCTTTTGGGGAGCAGTTGATGGACTGGAACTTCTGACCTTTCAGTTAACAGCCAAGCAACTTAACCATTGTGCCACCAGGGCCCCTTAAATGAGACCTACCAAACAAATTCTCTGCCATCCAGTCGATTCTGATGTGCAGAGACCCTGTATAGGGTTTCTGACACCGTATGTATATCTTATTTGCATTTTTATGGACGTGCTGCAAAGAAGGATCACATTCAGCTGCTCACCAAAAGATTGGCAGTTCGAGCCCATCCATAGGCACCTCAGAGAATGGGCCTGAAAAGCCCATCGTTGGAAGCCCAAGGAGTGCAGTTCTACCCTGGCACACATGGGGTCGCCCTGAGTCAGAATGGGTTCCACAGCGACAGGGCGGGTGGGGCTCTCTCCAGTCTGCGAGCACACATGCTGTCTCTTGCTCTCCAGTTGCCGTGGTTCAGACTCTGCAGTCCCTAAGCGAGGACAAGCTGCTGCAGGCCGTGGCTGGCCTTGCCCCGGGCAAACTCCCAGCCCAGCAAGAAGTACTCAGGACCCTGGCTCTGCTGTTAACGGAGGATGACAACGAAGTGCGGGCTGCTGTGACGCTTGGCTTGGCTGCAGCCTCCAAAAATGAGCACTTCCGGGAAAAGGTAGGCCATGGGACCACGGGCTTCAGGATACAAGCTGATCTTCCCAGCCGCTCCCCGGGACCCAGAGAAGGCTAACTACCACGGTGGTGATACTTTCTTTTAGAAGAATTAATACCAGAGTAGTAGTCCCAAATGTCCAACAACTTTCATCTGATGCTTTCTTTCCTGCTCCATTTACACACACACACACACACACACACACACACACACACACACACACTTCACATCCCTGGGTTCTACGATTCGATGCAACATCCCACAGAAACTCAACTAGACTTTGAGGAAAGGGTGCGGTGGTGATGGGTGCTCTTCGGTCACAAATCTGAAAGTCAGGTAGAGGTGAACCAAGGGCAGCGACTGGATCCAAAAGCCAAATATGTCCAGAGATCAAAGTAGAGCTCCAGGCTTCCACCAATGCGCAGTCAGAAAACACGTCACACAAAGGAAGAGTTGGATGGAGGCGTGGTTTTCATCTTCCACCAGACCAACCCCCAAGGAAACGTAAGCCACGGCTCTGCAGGGTAAAGTTGCCCCCCTTTAGTCCCGTAGCAAAGTGGTCAGACTTCACAGTTCATCACACAAAGAATGATGGCAAGAAGCCACCTTACATCTGAGCTCCCATAAAGACTTACCGTCTCGGAAAACCTCGGCGTTGGTGTCCACTTGATGGCGGTGCTTTTCTCTTTGGTTTGGTCCTTTGTGTCGTTAGCCACCCACCTGGTCCATGACCATGTCATCTGTCACAGAGCTGACCTTCTCTGCTGGGGTTTTCTGGACTGGGCTCTGCAAGAGCATTAGACTATTTTGCAGGTTAAACATCATCTCTCCTGTTCCCAGGGCAGAGATTATGTTGCTATCTCTCAGTTTAGTTGAGTTTGGGGTCTACAGCACAACCACCTGTAAGTCCTGTGCCTTTGAGGGGGCCCAGCTTGTATGTAGTCGTTGCTATTGTTAGTTGCCAGGAAGTGGATTCTGACTCATGGAGCCCATCATCATCACCATCGTCACCACCACCACTACCACCATCACCATTACCATCA